TCTCTGAGGCTTACAAAAATTCCTCATCTCGTGGCTTACAAAGAACGAACGTGAACGGAGGTGAGGAGAATGTCACCCTAAACACCAATTAACGGAAATCGGAATCAGGAAAAGTGAGATCCCAAGGTGTACTATGAACGACGCATGCAAACTTCAAAAAGGAATTGACACACGAAAATATGGCGCACATATAGAAACCAGCTCGAAATCAGAAAATGAGGCACCACTTGAAACGAGGAAGTCGGAAATCGGAAATAGAACGTGCTCGAAATTGACATTAATAGACCATTCAGGGCAATGGACGTTTCAAAACAGGAGAAAGAACACCAGGGATAAAAAATATAGAAATACCGTACAACTAAAAATGTTTTTTCCGTAAACCCTAAGGGTCAGTGATAAAAATGCAGATGTCACAAAATATCTTTTTGTTTCGTAAGAAGCGCATCACGTTCCGATTTCATCTGGTCTTTTGGACACATCAAACGACGGGGGCCATAAGGATAAAAAAGGATAAAGCATTTGCCGTTGATCAATCCCTTTTTGGGATGCGGCACGCATTCTACTTCCATTTGTACATTCGCAGTGGCATTTGAATGCGATGTGGCCTATACAATGACTTGCGGGGGCCAGCCGATGTTCAAGTCAGTGTTTTTATCCTCCCAGACAAGTCTGGTACCAATTAACCGACCCCGGAGGGATGGAAGGCTTGGTTGGCCCGGGCGACTCACGACCCAGGATTTGATCCCGGACCGCTCGCGTGGTGAGCGCGCCACTTGTCACTACACCACTTCCGCCCGGGTAAGAGCAGGGTGAATATCGCTTGAGGATTCCTCAACGGCACGTCGAGGATTCTCTGCCCGGTCAGACACGATCTCTCGCGCGGACATTCACACTCGCCATGCGCGTGCCGTCTGTGCTCTCCGCGCGGATGTTCTACTCTCGGCACTTGTATACTCTTCGCAGTCAGTACAGTGAATTCTTCTGACCGGTGTATCCACTTCCCTGTAGGCTAGAGCGTAGCTTGAGAGCCTGCACCCCGTCCTAAACGCACGCCACCCGCCTCGCCTCCAACACCCTTAACCACCAGTAGTCTGCTCAATTTGCCTACCCACCAGCCATCGTTTTCATTGTACTTAAAGCAGTGATACCATGAAGGTGCGTATCGGAATTATAGCTCTACTGAATCGTATCCAAGCGGCAAAGGAAGTGAGGGGTAAACCTGCTCTTATCGTAGCGAACCGTGCGATGGTTGCAATGCACTGAAGCTACATCCTCGAAAACCGCCCCGCCCACAAGCGGTTCTGTGGTGCCGTTGTTGTTTGATTTTCCTTTTTTAAGCTAATTCTGGAATCACAGCCGTATCATAAGAACATGTCGCGGCATATTTCTAAGTGGTAAACCAGTCCAATTTCAAAAATCGATGCATCCAATTCTTTCCATTCCGTAGTTTTTGTGACGAGCTTCTCGTTTTCTTTATTTTTTTTGTCCACTATCGCGTGGCGTGTCTACCAGAGTCCCGCGCGCGACGAAGCACGAGACACAGACCGCAAGGAACGATGACACGCATACTGGTAGCGGGTTTTTTTAGTTGCCCGCTCAGGTTAAATAGAGTGTGGCCGTACTACGTCTCATATTGCACAGCACGCGCTGCGACTCGTCCCTTGCCGCATCTGCGTCTCTTCCTTCGCCGCGCGAGGAGCCTTCAGGGGAACACCCCTAGCGCGCCATTCAGCACCTCTTTCTTGTGTTCTGAACCCAACCCAGAAGTATCGTACTCACTGCCTTTGAGGGGTAAGAGCGCTTACACCGAAACCTCACTCTGGTTGATGGTTAATATCAAATAAAAGCAGAAGCTAGTGCATATCAAACATGCGACCACTAACCTTCAGAAGTAGGCGTCATATCAATACTATTTAACGATGTCAATGACGTCATCGATAATCGTTTTGTCATGATAATCCGTCCGCTACGAGGCACATCGGGAGTACGATCGAGGTCATTGTCCGCCAATCCAATGAACATCGGGAATATCTGTTTCGGTCCTGAGAAGAATGTCTTGCACTGGTGGCACAAAACTGCTATGGTGGTTCTTCGTCAGCATTGCGCATGTGCTTCGTGAAACATAGAACCAAACGAAAACCCAAAGCGAAACAAAATCAGATCCCAAAGGTGTTTAGCAAGAAAAGTGTCCAAGAAAAAGCGCGCAGACATAAAGTGCTTGGCCCAAAAATGTAAATTGCGCCAAGTTTAACGATCAAAATTCTAACCTTCTCGTGACCGTTTCCGCTCGAGGTACTCCTTTTGAATGTCCTTTGGCTCCTCCCTGTCCAGTCGAATAAACTTGCTCATCGAGACTGTATAAATAAAACAATACAATATAATATATAGTATAATAAATAACACATGGCTCCGTGGCTTTTTTTGAGACCCGAGGGCGCAACGCTCCATCGAGGCAATTTGCGCGCCCACTGAACGCGACCGCGACGCAGCCGCTCGCAACAGCGGTACCACAGTCAACTCGTCCACGCTAGCCGCGGCCACGCCTTCAGGTGTGGTAAAAGTTACAAAGCCATAATACTTCGGAGCCGAAAAATGAAAAAGAAGATGGAAGGTGCTCACTTTCTCCTCGACTTTGACGCCTTTCCACGTGTGCATCTTCATCCTCCTCCGGTATGTCAGTGACCTCGCTTCTCCCGCCGAGAGAATACGCGGAACTCGTCATCGGCGAGCCGGTTGCCAGATCTCTGAACGACGTCATCACAGGAGCCGAGGACGTCATCGCAGCTGCAGGGGATGCCATAGCGTACGCTACAGGTTGATGAGCTGTTGTAGCCGACGACGACATTTGGGGTGGAGTCGATGACGACATTACTCGACGGGGAGAAGAAGGATAACTCTGAAATTCGAGAAATTTACAGAGTTAGCGCTCTTTCCGAATCTTCTATAAATTGAAACGAACTCCGGACGCTAGAACATCACCGAGGGGCGGCCGTCCGGTGGTCGGAGTCTCCTCTTCTAACGACCTGCAGTAGATTTATAGATACTAGACGCATCAAAGGAATTATTGATGTCACGTGAAGATATAATAGTCCCCGGGGAAATATTAGAGTGTCCCAGAAATTTTGAGAAAATCCTGCGCCGCAACTTTAAAAAGGATGTGAGACGCGGATGCGCTAAAAACTCTGCCCGATGAGATGTCGTGGTTAAGCCAGTGACGATCGTATGGTCCGGCGGCGGGTCACACCAAATCGGTTACGCGGGACAGTATGGCCCGTCTGCAGGCCACGCCAATAAATTGCTCGTCTACGTCTGATTTGAATTATTTGAAACTTTCAAATATTGAAGAGATATACGACCAAATAAAAGGCTACATTCACCGGTCCAGGAAATTTACTTTCTTGTCCTTTCTCAGCGTCAGAATCCATCAACAAACCTACAAATCATTCATCCAGTGTAAAATAATCGCAAAACTCTAATTCCATTACTCTACAAAATTGAGTAGCATCATTTCTTACAAAGAGATTCAAGGAAATAGGAAATGGAGCGAAAGTGGGACCTCGTGGGACGGTGCGGCTCACCAGCGAGCCACAGTTGGATTTCATGGAAAGTCTGCGCGCTTCCACACGCCAGACACGTTTAGAACGCATTGCCACCAATGGATTGAGGAGAGCTACTTTCTTACCCATCGATTTTACGCTTTCATTACTATTTCGTTGACCGGATTTCCTCAAAATTTCTGAGACACTCTGGTAATATAAGTAGATGATACCTATCATCCGCCCCTCTCTGGTGAAAATCCAACTCAGCCGTGGATTCATCCATTGCGAGTGATCGGTTCGACGCACGCGATGAGTCGCCTAGAATATGTATCGCAATCATCATTATAAACTGTATTACTTGTAGGAAACATATTCAGCAAACTCTTCGTTGAAAAATGTATGAAAAAAGGCGGTGGAAAGCAATTGACCATTAGGGCACGAAAATCCCGCCCAATGGGACGTCGTGACGTGATTGGTCCACAAGTTCTCTTTTTTTCTATTATAAGATCTGATTGCTAATATTAACCAGGCCTTTGCGAAATAAAAAAGCTCTGTTCTGAAAATAGGGAATAAAAAAAACCATTAAAAGCACGGGATGTGCAATGCCTGGTGTTTGGCGTGTAGTTGGGTTTGAAGCTGTGGATTCCTATATTTTTCATTAGTCTGAACTGCACACCGTTCAAAATTTTCTCACTGTTCATTTTCACTCCAGGAATACGGTAATGCAATTTCATCCAGGAAATACGGTACAATGGTCAGATGGCAATGAAAAATTGATTTTTGGTCTAAAATGGCGAACAAATGTGCGATTACTTCTGCGTGTGAGCGTGGATGTGCTCTGGAAAGCCGAACTCACTCTTGGAGGCCACAAGGGCACCCTTTTTCTTGTCCATAAATCGACGGCAGTTTTCACAAACTAAACCTCGGTATATCAGTTTCCGAAGGCAACGAACACGATGGGTGGAGGGCGGTGCGGTTTCGATGACGTCATTGAACGCCATTGGTGGAGGGCCATTGAGCGGCGGTCCCAACCACACCGTCAGTGCGGTTAGAACTTTAGTTAATCAATCGCCTTCAATGTTCATCAAAACCAGGCCACCTCCAACCACAGTGATCGCTGCCTCTAACATGGCCCTATGTGTAATATAGACCATGCGGTTAAAATTAAACTGAAAAAATCAATAATGAATAACTAAATTTAAAAAAACGGCTCACGGCGTTCATCTTCGAGTGGCGATGGAAACTGAGCCATTTCGTCCTCTGTGTACACGGAGTGTATGAAAAACTCCAGTCCGGACGAATCGATGTCCCCGATGGCCACCTAAAACACGGGTTTGGAAACCCTGGAATTTTTCACAAAAAGAAGCCCCGCTAAAGCGTCACTGAACCGTTCGCCGACGCTTCAGCGGAGCTTTTTGAAAATTCAGGGTTTGATTTATCAAAAATGTCCCCCTACCTCTCTAAGACGTCCATCTTGTCGGCCCATTGCCGACACGGTAGCCTCAACATGACGTTGATAAAATCCTGGAGCTCGTGCTCGTAATATGCATTCATGTGCTGGCAGTTTACGGCCATCGGCTGCCACCAGCAGCAAATCGGCGCTTTCCATATTGCCAACCTAAATAAAAATACAGATTAACCTATTTCCTTTCAATGATTTTACTGACCAGAAAATTGAATGATTTAGGCTCGGGCAATTGTCGGCTGCGTCCTAGATCAAGAAACCCATGGAATTTTCCGCCCAATTCAGTCTAAACCGATTAATTGCTGGCTTTGTTTGGAAGCCCATCCACCAATGTTCGCTGATTAGACACCAAATCCATGAGGAATGGCCTGGAATACCCTGCAATCCCGTAAAAGGCAGCCATCACGATGGATGTAGTGTTTGGATGACGTCACTGGAAGAAGATGGTAGACCCTTTAGCGCGCTGAGAGAGTGGATGGGACTGCCTCATGACCCCTTCCACTGGAAACGTTCAATGACGTCATCACAATCGTGCCGCCATCCTACCATCGTGATCGCTGCCTTTAAGTCCACCTTCAGAGGCGTATTCACTTTTCTTAGTCCAGCCTTTTCTACTCGTCAACGGTTTCTGGTCAGTTTTTCATACTTGAAAGCCACATTTTCAGCAAACATTAACTAAAGGAAACAACATAAACAACACGCTACGCAACATGCAAAGGCGCTATGTCGCTGGCGCTCGCTTTGCCAAGAGGGCTTTTCCTGTGAAAGACTCATCTACAGAATGTCAGGATAATTCACACTGGAAGGAGACGACATCTCACACTTGGGGTAACAAATCATTGAAAAAGAGCGAGCCCCAGCACATGACTATGCATGGAGGCTTGCAAGCCCACGGCCGTCTGAGGTCATTACCACTGCATTTTAGCCGCGCGCCAATTGTTGGAGCCGTAGTCCAATTGGAGAAGCGGTTGCAAGGACGAGCTGGAACTCAGAGATTAAGAACGATATACCTAAGGACATGTTCCGAGAATCGAGCGGTTTTAAGAAGGGATGATGTGCACTGGATGGGCAACCGAGTCAATTACAGGGTCAACCGTCCGTTGAGATTCTCCCATCGAGAGGAGCAAGGTGGAAAAGGAGGGGCTGCGAATTTTAGATAGGGCCTGACGTTGTTTTGGAAAAACGTGAGGATAGTTTGTGGAACTTTTTAAAATATTGTGAGAAATTTTCTATGGGATTTTGGAAAATTTTGACTCTCAGCACTATGTCAGGTGGTAGCAGGATCTAATGAAATAAAAATATAACAACGTTGGTAGGGGTAATGGGGAAGGACTCGCACCAGGGTTACCCTTCAGGGTGGAGTTGCCCGATTTCAATTTTTCCCCGACTTCACATTGAGTCTAGTCGGTGAAAAACCAGGGTTATCGCTAGCCCAGTTTGCCGGGTCGGGTCAGGTACTAACCGGAAGTTCAGCCCAAGATGCATGGGCGCCAGAAAATTCGCAAAAGGACGGGGATGGCGAAAAATCTTCGGACAGTTCAATTCTTCTAGAAATCAACCCGAAATCTCTCCAAATTCAATCAGCCTCCTCTATCAATCGAATTTGCTAAAGCGCTTGATGGCCTATTTGTCAAAAGGAACCTATCGCGTCCAATTTCGTGGAAAATTTCAAGTCAGCGCTATTATGTTGGGCTACTAAGCCTAGTCATTGATCTTTGACAATTGAGGCCAAACTACATATAACCACATGTGGCACAAACCAAGCATAGGTGTAAGATATAGAGAAATAGATTTTGAGTTTTTTCAGTTATGCGAAAGCAGAACAGAAATACTCCCACGATATACCAAATAGAAATCGATTAAATAAGCGAAAAAATCAATAACAAAGAACTATACCAATTTGGCAAGCGCTCCAACATAGAAGCGACGCTTTCTGTACATGGTGTTGGACATTAGAAAAATGGCGGAATAAACGGGCAACTGAGGCGTTTGTTCGTCTTCAATCCCTAGTGACCACAAGTACTACCCAAAAACTGTGCCATTTCAGGCAGTCATTTGGGAATCGAGAAGAGGCGCGGCCGACGAGGCGACAACCGACGTCGTCGTCTCGGCTGACGCTGGCTGGGCTGGTTGGCTGGCTGGCTGGCTGTGCTGTTAGCGCGTGTTTGGTCGCGTGGCCAGCCATTTGCCCATATTCATGGCCAAAAAGTGCTCGAAATAACATACGAGTGTGCTCATTTGTCTTCGAATTTTCTCCGCAATACGGGCTTGCAGCTGTTCACGCACGGCATTGTACTGCTCCAACACGACCGCTGAACGCATCGCTTCGTGTCATTTCATCTGAAAATAATTACATACATATCGATCACCACTGAGATATCGAAGACTAGCCGTTATTGATTCGCAAGATCAAAATGAACTGAAACCACTTCAGGATAAAAGGATAAAGCTGTCGGGGTTGATCAATCTCCTTTTTGGGATGCGGCACGCATTCTACTTCCATTCAGAATTGGTGTGGCAAGTTTGAATGCGATTGGCCTACACAATGACTTGCGAGGGCCAGCCGATGTAGCGCCGGGGCTTTTTTTTGTGAAATCCACTCCGGAAAGGAAATATCCTCCCTCTGATACCATTACAATAAAGTAGTAGAGGAAACAGGAATTCGGAATACATACAGATACATTTTTAAAAAAATACACTCCAATTATAAAAAGGTAAATTTCAAATAGATTACTATTTTTATACTTCAGATATATTTTTAGACACATGATATTCCGATCATCGGCATTATTTCTCTTCTACTACCCTAAAAATCGAAATATACATTTTATACACGATATATTCCTGAATTTTGCTCCCAAAGGTTGAATTGTCTATAGCCTTCCTTTCAGAATACGAGAAGAGCGTCTTGTGCAGACCATACACCACAAGTGACGACGGCCTCCACAAAATGTAATGTTTTCTGCCAATGAAATGATTAGCCTGTTGCAGTTGTATTCTATCGTTGTCACTAATTACAACTATCATTTACCAGAAATCAGCTATCACTATGAACAACTTCTAACCAGATTTACTTGGAGGCCGTCGTCAGTTGTGGTGTTTGGTCTGCACCCGACGCTCTTCTCGCTTTTTGAAGGGGGTATATTTCTGGACAAGGGCTCGGCGTTCGCGCCCCAGACGATGAAGGCAAAAAACCTTTAACAATAAAATAGGTTGAAAATTGATGCATAGGGACTCTGAAGGCAAAATCGTTTGGCGCAACCTGTGCGGAGCTCACGCAATGGGCGCTGGCGTCAAGTGAATGCAATATTTGAGCCAAGCTATTCACGTCTGAAAATCTCTGTTTACATCTACCCCGGCAGACAGATTACGAGAAAAATCTAGGCCCAATTTTTGAAAATTGGAGTGAGTAGCGAGCTGCAAATGGTGCCCAATAACTGAGTACTGTAGCCATCATGTTAATAACCATAAAATTGCCGTAGATAATGAAAAAATTTGGGTATTGAAAGCATTGTAGCATAAAAATTCACACGGTTACTTCGGCGATTACATTTAGTAATAGTGAGTATTGTACGACCATTCAAACGGCAATGTTTCTGCATGAAACATAAGTGCATGGCGCATCCCAAGTGAGTAGACCTGTTAGCTGTTTTGTTTGCCGTTACACAAACAACACAATATAAACTCAACAACCAACATATATTAAAGTAGTAAAGAAATTTACTGAATAAAAGGGACCGCAACAAGACGGAACTGCTATTTCCGCGTCTCATTGATTACTTTTGACAGCTGTTGAAAAACAGGTAATAAAATATTCTCCAGATTCTCTCTTTGTAACTTTGGCACGTTAATATTCAGTCAGTATAGCCACTTCCGAAAGAAATTCAAGGAGGAGTTTGTTTACATAAATTATTAATAGTATTGTTAATAATAAACAATGGAACAATATGCATAGAAACCTCGAAAGACGCAGCAATCAATAATAACACAATAAAACAAAAATATTACTACTATTATTACAATTGGCATTTTTGGAATAGGGTTTCACTTTGGGTAAATCCTCTCAACATGGATGAAAAGGAAAAGAAAAAGAAAAAAGAAGGAAAAAGGGAAACAAAATTGGAAATTGTCCAAAGCAGCTTCTGTCGAGCCCCGTCGCCCTCCAATCCATCGGACCTGATTATTTATGTGCATAGGAAAAAAATAGGGAAAAACGTATAGAAGGACCGCAATGGAAGGCGTCAATCACAGAAGAGAAATCTTTTGCGTCTAATTACGGGAGGGGGAGGCCGCGGCGGGTGAGGAGGGAAAGGGGCAGCTCATTCACTCTCACAGCTCTCGTTCCAACGTCCAGAAAGCACATTGAAATTCGATGCCTAACGAGACCCAATATCGGCCTTTGTGACGTCACAGGGACCATGTAGCTCAGCGCTTTTCATGAGACATTTTCTATGGAAGAAGAAGTTCATTAAATCCAATATTATTATTTTGTTCACTCACTTTATTATTTGTGTTTTTTACCACTGAGATTTATAGTTTTTTTTATTTGCCAGCTTTATTTCATTTATATGTTCTTTATTATTTTTTTTTTATTCTTTTATTTTTTATTTGTTGTATATTATAATTTGACTGTCAGTTATTTTTTGTTTTATTTTTCCCAATTAGATAGTTATTTATGTTCTGATTATTGATTATTGTGTGTCTGTTTGTTCTATTAAAAATTCATTATTTATTCAATTTTTTTTTGTTCGGAACCGTCTCAAAATGGATTTCGTCCCCGGCTGAGCACCTCTGCTCGCCTGCAATTGCTGACGGCAGCGAAGTCGACTTGTATACGTTTAGACACAAAGCGAGTAATGACTTTCAAAAGTAGAATACGGCGGCATGTCAAGTATTTTGGCTGTTGGCCAGTGCCTACGAGAGGCAGTTGGTGAAGTATTGAAGGATTGTACGAGTAGTAGGAGTAGGTATCATAAATCCAAAAAAAATCGAGGTTGCAATTCGTTATGAGGTGTCTCAAAAAGTAAGTTGGTAGCCCGGAGATGGGAAGGAACGAAGAATTAACAAGAAGAAGGAGCTATTTGAGAGTTGGAGGAAATGATAATTGATAATTTGGATAAGATTAAGGTTATATGTTAGATAATTTGACGGTTAATATGATACTTAGCTATTTCTCAGATGAAATGAAAATGGTTATTGAATGTAGAGAAGAAAAGGTAGTAGAAGGAATGACAGCCTGGTGCGGCCTATCTCGAGAAGAGGGGGTATTTTGTGCAGAGCACCTGAGGCTTTTGAAATTACGGCTAACACCTTTTTCTGGATATTATGAATGTTTAGAAAAAGTAACACTCACCTAGTTCCACTTTTGCACAACTGAAATTGGTTGACCCATTCTGGTGCCCTGCCCTTACAAAAATTGCAATTACCGTAACCCCTACGAGTCATTGTACTAATGTTGGTTCCCTTACTGGAATAGGCCCATTGGTGAATGGGCACCCATTTTTCAAGGTGGAACAAGCCTGTATAATTAGCGTATTTTCTGACTACCTGGAAACCCTAACGACTACTCAGAAAGTGCTTTCGAACGCTGGTCGACTAAACAGACCTTCAAGCCTAAAAAGACGAAAGTAGCCTTCTAGCTACCCCATGGAAGCTTTTTGTTTATGGCACATCTCGAACTGATCATTACTATTTGCTAGTTTATTTTTTTATTAAATTTAAACGTTTAGAATCATTGCTTGATGATTTTTGTAAATTTAATTACCTCTCTAAGGTTTTTAACCTCGAGTTCGAGCGCGAAAAAATGAGTGAAATGATTCAAATTTGAGTATCCATTGTTCCGTATAAACGTTCGGGAGAGGAGGCGTTTGGAGGGTAAAGAACATCCTCGGAAGAAATTCAAATTAAAAAAAAACATCAAAACTATTTTTTATCATCAGATCATGAGAGGTATTCTTGTGAAAATAATAAATAGGAATTAGAAAAAATAGAAAATTAACTGGTGACTGAATGTCGAGTTGGGAAGGGAGAAATTTAATTATTATTCCATAAACTCATAATGAGTCTAATTCCAACGATAATATTTATTGTTGATTTTGTGGGAAATTATCTTTTTGTAACACATAAGTTGTCAAGCAAAATAGAAAGCGATTGCCAAATAAATATATGAATCGATAATTCTCTAGAAAAGACTAATTAGAATGATTTTCGAACACAAAAGATTTTTTTCAATACTTGCGTCCGAAAAAAAAATTCAAAGGGACGTACAAGCAAGGGCTCTCATACAGAATCCCGTCCGATGGAGGTGGTTGGGGGGGAGGGGTGAGCTCAACAGGTTGAGTCAGTTGTGCGCCGAGACCTTATAAAGCACGGACAATGACATTTTGTCCTGGCACGCTGTACTGCCACGTAAGGCTTCAGCACAATAGACAGCGCGGAAGTGTTTAAGGGCGCAATCTCGGGCCAGCGCAGTCAGCGTGTTCATTTCCGCAAAGGCGGAACACTACTCACGTTGACGGAACCTCATGCTAACCGAATGTCGGGAAAAGAGGGTGTTACCACTAGCACCGAGTGGCACGGCAAGTTGTTGCACGGAACGTGCGGATTCAAACACGTCTGCAATTTTGGATAGATGTCGCATACATGGCGCATCTCCTAATATTCAAATGGAGTCCATTATACTAACTTTCGCTATTTTACGAGGGTTATCCGCTCAAATAGCACTGAGAATGCTCTTTCACCCAAGGGACGACCGAGCTGATCAAATTTCACATAGCAACGAATAAGACGTGAAAAACAATAGATTCTGCCTGAAAAAATTGATTTAAGACGGCAAGAATTTTAAAGGGAAGAACCACAGAAAGTCCAATGCATAGAGCATGCATACATTCATGCATAGCCTGTCTAGGCCCATGTGAGAATCAAACAGAGCTTTTCAGCAGCCCTGAAGCGCCAAAAGCATTGAAAATATTGATCAAAATTCAAGTGGAACATGAATAGAGCGATATGTGTGGCTGGATGAGGTTTTTCTCTTGTCAAATAGACACATACAACCACATTGAGCCACACGAAGCCCCTAGCACCTCGGTAGATGGCCAAATGGCGCTAAATATAGCCCCGATCGATGCGCAGGGGTAATAAGAATTTGCAGAAAATAGAATGACAGATAATAACTTCGTATAAAATAAATGGAATGGGGTTGATAGAGAACTCGGCTACATGGTTACACGTGTTGTCCCTGGCCATCAATGTGTGGGGCCAGCCACGTGGCCGCTGGCTATGTGGCGCTGCCTCGTCGTAATCAGTGGGACAATGCCGTAGAT